TTTATGGATATAATTATTATCCTGTATGTACCTAAGTTGCACTTTTTTCAGTCAATATACGCCTGAGCAGAGGAAAGACGTGTCCGTGACTCATTTATTTAATATTCCCCTTTTCAGGGCGATTACAAATGCTGTCTGCCTGAGAATGAAGTGCCTTGCAACATATCCTGTAGTATAGATTAAAAAATTGGCATAGTAATTTGGCCTATTATAAAAAGGTGCCTTTCATGAATTTTGCATCTTTGACCACAAAAAGAACACGGAGGGAAAGTTTCTGTAGCATAGTGGTTATTAGATTTGCTTAAGATGCAAAAGGTCTCTGGTTTGAAACCAGTCAGGAACAGCTCTCACAGGTTCTACTTTTCACAGTTTTTTATGTCAATATGATAGTGATGGGATATTCAAAATTTGTAATTTTGGTAGATTCACCAGTCCTGGGAAGCTTGGCCGCTGTTCCATGTGTACAGCCCTTACCCCAGTTTATTTGGGTTGTTTGAATTCTTTTAACAAATGAAATGTGATGATTTAAAACATACATCCATCCATTTTCTATACCCGCTTCTTCTGTACAGGGTCGCGGGGGAGCTGGTGCCTACCTTCAACAGTCTACAGGCGAGAGGCGGGGCACACCCTGGACAGGTCGCCAGTCCATCGCAGGGGAATCTAAAACATTTGAAGTGTAAAAAATCACAGACATTCTGATTCATTTATGTTCATTATTGTCTGATTGGTGAGTGCCTGATAGGTCTGATCGGTATTTTGGACCTGCTTTGCAGCTGAAAACTGAAAAACACTCTTCTTAAATGTACTTGTAGTGTACCATAAATAAATATGGCTATGAGATGCTAACAAACATCGACCAACAGAATAGTTAATTTGATGACTCTATAAGAATGGGCTGACAGACCCGAAGAGGCACCAGAACCACAATCCGCGGAAATATGCTTTGATAAAACATCTTCAGAAAACAACACTTTGACATGATGTTTTCTCTCTGCATAATTTATGTAAATCCAAACAATGGTTTGTTTAAAGGTAGGCTGAGACACAAGGTCAAAGCCATGACTTAGTGGAATTGACTCAGATTTACTATGAAATCCTTTGCTGTCATCAGTTAAAAAAATAAAGTGAAAACAGAAATCACATTGACACCCAGTGTTTATACAGATTTGCATTTACTGTAATTTGCCAATCAACATCAAGTAGTTGTAATTTACAATGCAATAAAAAACAAAAATGCCACATACTTATACATATATATATATATATAGATATGAGTTAAAAAAGACGTGATAAAAATAATTACATCCTTCAAAAAATATAGATGGAATGATGCGCTAACCCAGAGGCTTTACTTATAAATAGCATTATCAACAACAGCCATTAACCTTCATTAGTTATATACCAAACAACCTATTAATTCACAAACAGTTTGCTGATTAACCAGGGATTCAGTCTTAACAAAGACTCTTATTGCCTCAAATGATTAATTTAGTTTTAGCTTCTAGTGCAAACAATGTTGTTTAGACGAAACCAAAAAAACAAACAACAACAAAAAAATAACAATCATGATGAAGAGCAACCTTATTGTCACTGCTTTATGACAGATGATGTTGCTGCAGTGGTTGTTATTGAGGGGTTTTGAGATGCCTTTATCCTGTAAAGAAAAAACACAACATGTAAACATTTTTTAGTCACTGCTGTTAATATTTCTGTTAAAACTATTCTAAATATTTTTACTTGTTGATATCTATACAGTATAGGACATTCTGTTCTGTGGTTAGACCCTAAAATAAATAAAACATGTTCTCCATGAGAATATTTAAGAACCGATTTCTTAGGTTCCTGCTCCTGTTGGTAGCAGAAAGAAACACTATAACTACTGTAGATGACTATTCGATGCACTACAGCTTCTACGGCTGCCACTCAGTACTTGTTTAATCTGTTATTTAAAACTTAAATGACAACATTTAAAAAAATAACTTTTCCTCTTACATTCTTGAGGTTAGCAGGAGTCTTATGGTGAACTGTGACTTGGGGTCAAGACAGACCTTCCTTTCATCTTTCAGGGTGACTCTGTAATAAAAGAAAAATAATTAAGTCATCAGTCCTCAGTGCTGATTCTGATCTTTTTGGTCATTTGTGGTTCTGCAGGTACTTACATCACTTCGGACCTGCTGCAGTATGGACGAGGGTGCTCCTCCTTCACATCAGTGATGAGAGAGCGTCTTATTGCCTGGCTTGTTCTTACACACTGGCACTTCTTAATTGCTGGGGGGGAAATGAAAGTGTAAATTAAAAAGATACATATATGCCATACATATATGCTTTTATGATTTAAAGGTTGAATGGAGAAAATCTCTGCTCAGCACACTTACCTGCTGAGGAGCAGATGGAGATGCAGGCCAGAAGAACGATGCACTGGATTGCAGGATTCATGTTTGTCTCAAATGGTAAAAATGAGAGAAGTGTATTTTTGCAGTGATTCTCTCCTCTTCAGTGTGAAGGCTCTCCCCTCTCTGTGAGTATCCTGACTGTGGAACGCCATGAGCTTCACCTTTTATACATTGACAGTTGGCAAACATGCCTTCTAAAGAACTAATTTAAAAAAGTCATTCCTGCTTATCCACTTTCACTACCCCTACTGTGTAATCTATTCAGTTTCCTCTGAACCAGGAGGGCTCCCCACCTCCTAATATGGACATCCAGCGCTGGATGACTCATTCACCAAGAAGCTTTATGCGTCAGTGCTGTTGGGGTTGGAGTGAAATCAGTGTGAACTTTTTATTTATGCTGATACAGAAACACTGGCCTCTGTAGAGCTGGACCTGCTGATAAGATAGGTCAGTACTTTTTGTGTTTTACAGCCTTTCAGATATTAGGCACATGCATGGCATCAACAGCTTTCATCTTTTTACATCTGATGTAGAACAGGATGCTTCCAAGATAATCTTCAAGATGATCTGGCATCATTTTTTTGGTTTAACAGACAATCTGCACTGAGGAGATAAAAAGAAGATGATAGAAGTATTATTTCTTCAGAAGAAGTATATTAAAAATTGGATGAATTTAAATCCAAACAGACATGAGATTTGACACAGTTTAGATTTACTGAGCTGTTCTGTTTTGTTCCATTAATCAATAACTTTCAAACTGAAATAAACCTACTGTGGCTTTTCAGAGTCAAAATCAAAATCAGCTTTATTTCCAAGTTTGTACAGACAAACTTTTGACTCCTGTACACTTTGCTCTCATTGAGGATTTTTTTTTCAATACATTCTATACAACAGTGGAAATAAAGAATATCTTTTTAAATGTACATATATACACAACTGACTTTACAAGAGAATATAATGTGAGATCAGTACAAGTATGCATGGTGTTGTTCTGGAACTATGACTGTCAAGTGTTCATCAGAGAAACATCCTGGGGGAAGAAACTGTCTCTGTGGCGGCTGGTTTTAGCAGACAGCGCTTTGTAGCGCCGACCTGAAGGTAAAAGCCTAAACAGTTTGTGTCCAGGGTGTGTGGGGTCTGCAGAGACAGGTCCCCGGTCCATCACTGAGGCACTCAAAGAAACTACTCACAGCAGAAGTCACACCTAGGTGCAATGTAGAGTGACTTATTCGCATAACTCATGTTTTTGGCCTGCAAGAGGAAAGATGAGTACCAAGAGAAATCCCACACCTCATGCATTCAAAGAATATGTTAACTCTAGGCTTCCGGCCTACTGCCAACATCATTCCCAGTACCCACTTTTGCCCTCAGAACTGCCTGAAGTCTTTGTGGCATGGATTGAAAAATGTGCTGGCCAATATTGAAGCAATAGCATAGCTATAGCTGGAGCTGTTTCCTAGTGGTGGGTGTAGGCGAATCCTGAACTGCTTTTACTTTCAGGGGATCCGAATTCACTCGTCCACCTTTAAATATAAAACCCAGGAAAATAATCGATTTAATGTGGAATTCGCACTTCTCTGTCTTTACAAAGAGTTGGTTTTCCAGGCGCCACTGCAGAACCTGTTTGACCTGTAGTTTGTGTTGTTCTGGATCTCTGGAAAAGATGAGATCTTCATTCATGTACACAAATACAATGATGTTTATAAAGTCTCTCAGGCTGTCATTCGTGAGAGCTTGGAAAAGAGTGGGGGTTTTGGTTAGGCCAAAAGGCATAATTATTGTATTGAAAATGTCCAGTATGAGTTTTGAAAGCAGTTTTCCATTCATCGCCCCCTCAAATAAAAAACCAGGAGATAAGCGTTGCGGAGTGCTAACTTGGTGAAGATAGTGGCTCCCTGCACAGGCTCAAAAGCGGAGGAAAGGAGGGGAAGTGAATATTTATGATCTAAATAAAACCCTTTTGGTCTACACAAGGTCTTAGAGTTTTAACTTTTTTTTGACACCGAAAAACCCTGCACCAACTGGTGAGGATTTGGGGCAAATGACAACAGCTTTGACTGACTCGTTGACATATTTTTCGAATCCCTCACGTTCAGGACAAGAAAGATTGTAGGAGTGACAGGAGGGGAGAGGAGGTCAATCGGTGTGGAAAAGGCGACAAAGCTAGGTCTTTGCCAAAAACCATCTGTAGGTCATGATACTCATGATACTTTGTGAGGTCTGGAGAAGAAACTAAAGCAGAGTTCTCAGAAGGTTGTGGAAGAACAGCAGACTGGAGGCAGGTGGCAAGACAGTGAGTTCCCAGGATTCAATTTGAGAGTCAGCCCAGTTAATAAGAGGATTGTATGTTTTAAGCCATGGGTGGCCCAGGACAACAGTAGCGATTTTCCAACGAAGGAACTCTCATTCTTGAACTGGTTCACTTTGCGTGCCTTCAAACTTTGGTGTTTTGTTGAAAACCAATTCCACCTGTTTCCACCAGTTTAGGGAACCAAGCATGAGTCATCAACGGTGCGTGTTACACAGCGTAGTAGCGAGACAGTGCAGTTGCTGAGCTACAGTGGATGTTCCTTTTAATACAAAAAGAGAGCATCCATACACAACAGTTACGAAAATACGAAAAAGGAGACAGGGACTCCGTGCAAGAACAATGGTATGTACAATGTTTTCATTTGGATATGTTCAGCATTCACAAGTGAAACAGAAACAAGTAGTTATACAGTGTGTGTTTAGTGTGTCTTTGCAAATATATAAATGTTTATACAGTACGTTCTTTGTCTTCGTCTTCGCTGATGTACTTGTTCCTTCTATTGTCCACAGCTTCGTCCTGCCCATGGGTGACATTGAGGTTCGTGCAGAAAAACCAAGTATTCTGCGGTGCCCGAGTTCAACCAGAGTTTGTGCACTGGAACCTTTGTTCGTTGATGTTAACACTCGTTACTGGTTC